GCAAAACATGCTGTATTGTTCCACTGTGTCACTGGCAAAATAAATAGGTTGTTATAGTTTGCCATATTTAACAGGGGACTATAACTGTTGAAAACGTCTTTAATCTAATGACCGTATCTTTCTATAGTTTACTAGCACCGTGGAAGAAGTCATTCAAAATATTTTAGTATGAAACCCTGAATTTTATACTGTAAAGCAGCAAACGCAGAGACACTTACTTCCACACAGACACCAGTGGTCTAGTTACAGAATCATTCCAGTCAGCAAATCTGGCTGTGTTACCAGGAGATGGCAAAGCTGGGACGTGAACCATGAGCAAATTCAGGAAGGGTCACTGAGGCTTTCTTTGCTCCAGAGAAGATGCCTGTCTTTAACATAAGTGGGAGACTTTTAAAAGCCAGTCACGAAAGAACAGTACAAGGCATTTCTGAAGGTCTGAACTAAGGAAAAACAAAAATACAGGACTTCTAGAGCACTTTCCTGTCCTCAGCCCTGGTCAGTCTTCCCAGACTCCTGAAACACAGCCTTATTTCTTTTCTTATTATCAGCTTACCAGTGCTGATGTTTTTTAAGTTGAATCAAACTTGCACCAGCTTTGGGGGATGACTGGAATCCCTATTCTCATCCTTCACGCTTGGAGATCAGTATAGTTTTCTTTCTGCTAAAATAATCTTGAGAGATAATATATAATTTTGATTTGATTTCCACAAAGACGTTTCGTCCTTTAGCAATACTCCTTCCCTCTCCCTTGCATTTATTCAGAGCCCTTGGCTTCACTGGCCACACTCCTGCTCTTAATCAAACCCTGCTGTGACTTCACTGACACAGCTCCACAGGTCTCTGTTGACATCTGAAGGAAAATCCTCGAATGCTGTGGAAGGGATCGTTGCTCACTGCTCTGCAGAGGTAATGTGGGGAACACGCCCCATTAGCACTGAAAGGATCATTTTCCCTTTCACCACAGACTATTCCTCCTTTTTGTACAGCAAGGAAGCTACTTACACTAGAAAGCTGAGAAAGAACCTGGTTCACAGAAGCCCCAAGGGAAACAGGGCAGATTTCCTTATGGAGGAAAATGTCTGACTTAGCACAAAACAGCTAAACCCAACTTACTGCAACAGAAGCCTTTGCTTCGGAAAGCAGCTTTCCTGGAGGGCAGAGAGACATCTCAATCCCCAGAAGAATTTCCTCTTAAATTACTGCATAGAGCAACGCTTATAAAAGCAGAAGCCGAAAGGCAGACTTTGATATAATCCTTTTTATAAAGTGTTCTGTTGTCCTAAATATCAGCATGAGCGGCCACGTGGTAAGCGTTTTGGAAAAATTATCTGTTCCTTTACAAATGTAAATAAAAATAGGTGGCTAAATATTCTACTGTCTCCTCCAAAATAAAACAATATAAATCTCAAGAATTACACTAAACAGAAGTGAAATTAGGCTACAGTGATTACATAAACATCGAGATACCCATCTGACTGACAAAGGCTTCATACTTCCTGTAATGGTAAAGTGTGCTAGTATTCAGGGTGATTATGGATGATTATGAGTATATTTGACTGATTCAAAAGGTGAGGTTGATTTCCTTATTTTTCTTTAATTTTACTCAGCACATAGATCAGTTCTTTAGAATTAGCACTAAAGTAAAATGCCAAACTATAACACCACGAGGAACTTGGGAAGACAAAATGTAACTAATTACCACAAAGAATAATTATATTAAAAAAAAAAAAGAATTCAAGCCTCTTTCCAGCCTCATAAAAAACCTGCAGATAGCCTGTGATTCTGTATCAGCAGATGTTTTCTCTCCTGTGCATTATCAGAGCCCTTTTGGCCTTAAGTGAAATAACAATAATTAAAAAGCAAATGGAGTGCAATTACCATGGAAACTTGGAAACTAACGTAACATTATTTGCTGTAAGCCTTTGTGCAGCAAATGGAAAATTTTCTAGTTTACACAAATCTTGGCTACTATTTTCTTTGCAGTGCAAACTTTGGTCAAATATTTTTTTTCACATTAAAGATGCAAATAGTGAGTTTCACTTTCTGTCCAGTACGACCCTGCACAAAAGCTTCAGAAGCTGCAGTTAAATGTCTGATATTTATCTTTCCATGAACTCAAAATAGATATTAGAAAAAGAACAATTTAGGCTTCCTTTTCGCTTGTTCCTTCAGAAAGTGAAAACAGTTTAGAAAACATCTGTCTACAGGAGCAAAGAACTTTGCTATGGGAGATTCCTGTGGGCTGAAACACGGGTACAGTCTGGGACCACATTTGTGCAGAAGATCTGAGTTGTCCTTAACTGAGGCAACAAACACAGTGACAACATCAAACACCTGCTGAAGAATCACTGCAAAGCAGTTGTCTGACCGAGACTGAGCCAGTCCTGCCCCAGCAATCCTGCTTGTACTGGAGAGAGTCATTGTTAAGGGACTGCTTAATAAGGGCTTTAGCAGAGTCCTTACCGGAGATTTCATCGCAGGCTGACTGACTGAGGCTTTCTCTTTACAGCTTCACATGCAAGTCAAAATGTCCTGTTGGCTTTACACCTGCCTGGCCAAGTAAGTTACCGAGCACGTCAATCACCTTGCTCTCCAGATGGATTTCCCCCTTTACATCTTGAAAATTGCACTCATCACTGGTAGGTCATGCAAAGAAAGAGGAAGCAGCATGACTCAGCTCCACACTACAATGGCTGGAGCAGATCCAGACCTACCAGTCCTTTGGGCTTTCCTTACCAAAAGACAAGTCTGCAGTTCGGATAATGTAAAGCAGCCAGTGTTTGGGTAGGAAATGTTAGACAGGCAGCACGCCAACTGCAGTTCTTAAGCAATGTGCTAGTTCCTTACACTGATGGAAAATTATCTTCCAAAGAGCTAGGAAGCGAACAAAAAAAGCCAAAGGGCTCTGATCTTGTGCCTACGGAAGACAAAATGCTAAAAAAGGAACAACCTCCTGAACTATATTCCATAAGCATGAATTTACACGGAAATCTAGCAGCAGACAACATATTAACTTAGCAAGTTTCACATCATGACACACCAGCAAATATTTTTGTAAAATCTATAAACTGCAGAAGTTGTAACAGAAGCATAGGAAAGCTACTGACATTAAGGAGTCCAGGAACCGGGATTTGATCCTCAGTGCTTTGTCTAAGCTGCTGGAGAATAGTGCTCTAAAAATTAGCTACTCTAGAAACGATCTTCTACCATTTTGCTCACACCTGATCCACAGATGTTTTTCATACAGAGCATCCATACAGCGAGCTACTGCAGAGCAAATAAAGCACTGCCAACACACTTAACTTCACTGTGTGAACAAGCCCTGAGCAAATTCAGCAAGAACTGCAGTTCACTCCTTGAACGCACAACAAAGACAATTTGATGGTTATCTCAAAGCAATTTAATCTCAGAGGTAGAGACTTCAAATCTAAACCTGTTTCTTAGAACAACGTTGTACATTCTAGTCCATGCCCAGAAGCTCTGGACAATGGGATGAATTTGTCTTCTCAGGCACTGCATTCACTGAAGGAATCGCATTTCAGTCATTGCTTACATAAATATGTGCAATAGTAGCAATGAAAGTGATAGAGACGCACGATCTGAGCTATTCCTCTAAATCAGCCCTCACCTTCCTACAGAGCATATCGAAGTATTACTTGCACAAATCAGTCCTCCAGGCTGTGCACGCAGCAGGGATGACTGAGCGGTACCGGGGAAACTTGGATCACACACTAAGCAGCCTCACACTGCATTAGAGCATGGAAGGCCAGCAGGCTTCTGGGCTCCATGTTCACTTCAAAAGATGGTTCATTGAGCAGACTTTATGCTTAGCAAAGCTCAGCAGCTTTTTTCCTTATCCCTCTCTGAAATGTTTTGGGCATTGTCTTATGATTGCACTACAAAATTTGAAGTCATCCAAAACTTGTTCATGAGAAGCGAATGGAAACATCTCTTTTCATTCCAAAGGAAATAACAACTCCTATGCTGTTTTCCTAAGTGAGCTGAAAACTTGGAGAGAAACCTAAAGCTAAAAAAAGCAAAGAACTCAAGAAGATTCATACTCTGGACTGCAGTTTCTGTAGCCTTAGCTCAAGGGAAAATATGCTCATGGGAAAAGGGCCAGCCTGGAAAAAAAAGTCAGCCAACTCTGACTTTTCTAGTTGGAGTGGCTTCAAATCAATATGTTGCTATTAAAGTAATTTCTTCATAAACAAAAATATTCTTTATGGATTGTATAATAGTAATTTACAATTGAAACAACCACTTGTACCATGTTTCCTAGCAATCAGTTATCTAGTTCAGCTCCTATCAACCCTAGATAAACAATGATCAGGCAATTTCAGAGGCCTTTATGATGTTAGTGTTGTTACACTGATTCAAGGTGTTATATCACCTTCCCAGAAGTGAGTTCCTGAACTAATCCCAAAACAAAGAAGTGTCAGCTTTATCACCTGCCTTTGTATCTACACACAACTAAAGACAACAACATCATACCTCAGAAAAACAGAAAACTTGTACGGCTTAATTTGAAAAAATCTTACTGCAATGGACTGTCTTTAATCCTGCAATCACTTTTGTCTTTAGCCAGGACTAAACCAGATTATAAATATAATAGAATTCCACACTAACCCTCTAAAGACTTGTCTACAGTCAAACCTGCCACAGGCAATTCAGAGAATTTGTAATTGTCTGTGTGACATTGCAACAAATGCAACAAAAAAAAAAGCTGCCCAAACACTCTGTGCCAGACCCCAGCAAGTACGGTCACCATTATCCCAAATGCTGTATCATCAGAGCTTAACCTAGGGATTATGATCCCCATTACACACTTGAATTGTCTTCTGCATTAATTAGATTTATGTTAAGGGTTGACAAGAATATCTGAAATGTTTCCTCAAAACTTTCTAGAATGATACAGTACGCTTTCACTGAACTTGAAAGTGAACTTCATCCCCTATTCAAAACTCAAGGAAATGATGCTGTAAATGAAAACCAGTTACCTGTGATCAATGACTGTTACACCGGAAGGAGGAATCCCCAGAAGAAAACAACTCTGTTCCAGTTCTTTCTTACGAATCTCCCCTTGATTGTAATAATTCCCTGAAACAAACAAACAAACACAGCAACACCATCTAAGTTTAGGTTAACTTGGGAAGAATTCCTCCTTTCCTTCTCAAAGCACTAAGTTAAAACATCACACATTAAATAAAAGGGCACATTTGAGGATTGGATGTATCACAGAAGACAAACTCCATGGCTTTTTCCTGAGCAACACCCAGCTTAGCTCAGGGTAAAATGCTGAGGCAAATGTGAATCCAAACAGTTCTGTGTCCTCATCCTAAGAGTGGCCAAAGTTAAATGTTCCTGCCAAAAAACACAGCAGATCTTCCAAACGACGATTCTGGAATAACCTGCTTGGGCAACTGCTTCCAACAACCCGTTTGATTAGTAAGCGTCTTATTCCTCGAAACATCAAAATTTCTAGCTCTTCC